ATCTCTTTCGCAAGTTCTTATTTTCGATTAGATGATGGGAAGGTTCCAAGAGTTGGTTTGCTCGCAAAAACAACAAAGAATTAGGAGTTATCACGGTTGACTTAATATCTTCTTCTTCGACATATCCCAGGGGTCGATCGTTCAGTGTAGTTTCCACACTTAGCAAGACGGCTTCGAGCTCTTTCCAACTTAATTGACCATGACCGATCACCTTGTAGGGCGCTGCCTTCACTAAACCAACTAATCTTTCAAATTGTCCGCCCCACCATGGGGCACGGCTCAAGTTGAACTGCCATGATATGCTATTTCAGGCTAGGTAATCCTGCAACCCTTCGTCTTGCTTCAGCATTTTTACCCACTTCGCCGCCGCTACAAACGTCGCCCCGTTGTCCGAATAAATACGCTCAGGACGACCACGTCTTGCGATAAATCTTTGGAGGCTGTTTAGACACTCGGACGTCTCCATGTTAGGCAGAAGTTTGAGGTATACTCCACGAGTAAGACTACAAGCGTATAACAAGATGTACGCCTTGCCTTCTTTTCCTTTCGATTTTCGATAACGTAGTGGACCCGTAATCAATTCCGATAACTTGGTATGCAGTGGATCCTTCGGTTCTGGTGGTTGGTAAGTTCGCTGGAGGGGGCGTTGCGTAAGCAATGGCGTGGAATCTCTTGCATCCATGGCAATCTTTAATAACCCGCTTCACTAATCGTCGCAAACGATGGATCCAATGTCTTTCTCGAACGTACACCATTGTCAACCCGACTCCCCCATGAAGTGTGGACTTGTGTGCATGTTCGACGAATTTTCTTGCCAGCAATGATGAATTAGGAATGTAGACCGGGTAAAACCCCTGAACTCTTCCTCTGCACTCTAAAACACCGTCCTCATTTAATTGTAAACTAAGTTGCAATTGATCTCTCGTAAAGGTTTCGTCAACTTATTGTTGAGCTTTCGTGATCAAACGAATTTCAGCTTTCTCTAAATCACCGGTTGTAAGTGGACCTTCAATTCTTCTTTCTTTCGCACACCGAATGTTTCCAAGGAACCGTAATAACCAGGCCGTAATCCTCAAGGTCTTCCAATAAGCAAACTTAGAGAGCAAGTTTCCTAACTCGTCGTCTTCTTCCTTGGCCAAGGCAAACAATTGCTTCGTTAGCTTCACTTCAACATCGCTCTCTGTAGTGCGAGTCGTCCTTTGATCTGGTGGCCATTCGTCAGGTTTACTTAGCCAGTCAGGACCCTTCCACCACCACTGATCTCCCTCTTTAATTAACCCACCACGGCTCGCGACATCAGCGGGATTTTCTTTGCTAGGTACATGTCTCCATGTCACTCCTTCATGCTCACGAATTTTGTTGGCACGGTTAGCTACGAAAGTTTTGTACTCTCCTTCGCCACGGATCCAATGTAGTGCGACACTGCTATCTAACCAACCAACAAGGGATGTTACTGGAAACCCTTCCAAGGCGCTGTGTACGTTGTCAAGTAAATTCACCGCCATATGCACCGAGATCAATTCTTTCCTGGGGATTGTAAGCCCTTGCTTCGCGAGTCTTGCTTTCGCACAAACGAGACCTTGATTTACTTGAGATTCTTGAGTGACCACAGCATACACCGCTGCACCTACCCCATGACCACTCGCATCACCAAAGGTGTGAAGTGTTATGGCCTGAATGGGTTCTTGGGCAAGTGGTATAGATCTTGGAGCCTTGACTTGATGAGGGAGGTGGTTTTCCCACTTTCGCCAACGGTTAGTCAATTCGTCAGGCAATTCTGAGTCCCACTTACACTTTTGTTCACAAGCTTCTCTGTACAGAAGCTTACCTTGTAGGACTGTGGGAGCTATGAGGCCAAGTGGATCATAGATTCGGGATACTTTACCAAGTGTACCTCTTTTGGTGGGAGCTACTTCGTCAGAAGGAATAGTCACCTCAATTGTGTCTGCTTCTTTATCCCATTTCAAACCAAGGAGGTTGCCTGCTTTCGATTCGTTGCCCAATTGTTGTTTTGCAAAACTTGTGTCATCACTACTGTCCGATTGTTCGTTCTGTTCTAACTCTTTGACATTTGATTGCCACTTGTGTAAATGGAATGACGCTTCTTTAAATATTTCAACTGAGGCTTCCTTCTTCTCGCGCACTTCTTGCACTGACGTTCCTCCGGTTACTAAGTCATCGACATACAACTCTTTCTCTATTTCTTCAGCATGCTTAGGGTACTTCTCTTTACTCGCATTCAAATGACATTGTAATACTCCTGCCAACAGGAATGGTGATGGTCCCATGCCGAACAGTGCTCGAGTGAATCTCAGAGTGCAAATACGTTGAGGATCTTTATCTTCCAACCAGTGAAATCTCATTGCATCTCTATGTTCTGTCCGAATACGTACTTGAAGAAATGCCTTGCGAATGTCACCATTGAGTGCAACAGGATGGAAACGTCCTCGAACCAGGACTTTGAAAAGTTGATTCTGTAACGGTGGACCTGTGTTCAAACAGTCGTTTAGGGATGGTTGGGATCCTGTTTTCGAAGACGCATCGTAAACTATTCTCGTTTTTGTGGATTCTGAAGATTCGCGCACGACCGGATGATGAGGTAAATAGAACACAGTTCCAGTTGGTGGCTCATTTGCAGGTTCAACAATTCCTTCTTTCAGTTGGTCTTGAATAATTGAATTGTATTCATTGAATTTGTCAGTTTTCTTCAATCGCTGCACCAAGGTCCCCAAACGTTTCAAACTGTTCTCCTCATTTGAGGGCAAAGGCGGATGGCCTCCCTTCCAAGGGAGGCCAGTCTCATACCACCCATGTACAGGATCACGCCGAAGCTGTTCTAAAAACTCTTCATGCACAACTTTCTGGTCTCCAGATGGTGTGTCTTGAATACCGAGAACATCCATGCGACAAAGTTCCTCATAATCAGATTGAGCAGTTTGAGCAAGAAACATATTGTCTAAATTGGGCTGAACTCCTGGCGACATAATTGACCAGCCAAACTGAGTGAACTCCGCCACAGGGTCCCCCATTTCACCAGTTCTTTGTGGTTCACTAGTCTTGATCCTTGAATATTCTGCTGCCCCCAATATGAGGTGTACTGGAAGGACTGATTTGGTATCCGTTTCCACCATATTCACGCCTTGTAGGTGTTGGAACCGACTAATCAACTCTGGGTAATTTGGATTCACAACTGACAAGAGATTTCTGCGGTCAACCTTTGTTACATTCACTGGGATAACAAAGTTTCCTTCTGTGTTGCTAACTTCAAGATTGTAGATTTCAACATGCTTCGTTATTGTCCCTGTGATGGTTTGAATACACCGTGTCAAGGTATTAGATGGATTGATATTCATTAGGCTGAGAAGATATGCAGACGCATACGATGTCGTAGCTCCTGTGTCCAGTAGTGCTCTACAGGTAATACCTTTTGCTTTGACAATAACAATAGGGTGACAAACCTTTTGCTCTTCGTGTGTTGCTGTCATAGCTGGTTGTCCTGGAATTTGGTTATGTGGAGGTTTCTCTAAATTTGATGAATTGATGAATGATGTTTTTTCTTGCAGTGAAAACAGGTAACTCGACTTCGACACTGTGCTGCATGGTGTCTGCCACCTGTACAATTAAAACATAACTTCTTTGCTTGTAGCTTTCGTTTACGCTCAGTGGGTGTAGCAACCTTCTTACATTCATACGACTTGTGCTGTTCGTCATCACAGTAAACACAACCCTTTGGTGTTGAGGAATCTTTGGAGAAGAACGAATGGTTGCGGTTGTAGGGGGTCCTAGGGTTATGTTCGCTTGAACTTTCCACCAGGTGTATTGCTTTCCAATTTTCCAGAGCTTTTAACAAATCAGCAAATCCCCAATCTTGCCATCCAACCTGATTTGTGACCAACTCTGCCTTAATACCAGGTAATTTCTCTATAACACCCCGTACCATTGACAAACTCTGCGATAGTTTACTCAATGTTTCTAATGATTGTACATTGTAGCTCAGGTTCTTGATAAATTCATGTATCTTGTTTACTTTCGTGCCAGTTATTGTAGGCAACTCTTGTATGTTTTTTACATATGCCCTAACAATTTCACTTGTATTCCCATGATTAGTTTTCAAAATGTTTTTAGCACGGGTGTACCCCTCCATGGTAAAGGGTAGCCCATCAATCTCGTCACACACATGGAGCTCTAACAGTTCCTTTAGGTAAGGGAACTTGGTTACAGCTGGGAGGTCTGTATTGTCTATTTCAGCTTCAATGTATTCCAGAAAGACAGCCATCTTTCATATGTACCATCATACTTTGTTATTACTAACTTAGGCATTTTAACACTGCTCACCTTTGCTTGTTCTGGCTTTGTTGACTTGACACTAACCGAACCCAAGCTAGCCATTTGTTCCAATTTACATTTTTCGAAATACAGTTCTTCGTCCCGTTGTTGTTTTAGCAATATTTTCTCCTTTTCACGTTTCTCGTTCTCAGTCCTCGCCTCGGCTTCTTTTAAATCTTGATTTAAGTGTGATATTTCGCAATCCGTCTCATCAATCTCGCCTTCGATATCGACTCCCCATTTTTGAACATCTTCGATCGCTTCCCCGTCTTGTAGTTTGTCCTTTTCGCCTTGCATTTTAAGCTCTTCTAATTCTTTCACGATTTTCCCCAACGCTTCTTTATGTCGAATGATTTTGTCAAGATTTCCCTTCTCTAGAATCGCTTTCGTTTTGCTTCGTGTGAGTTTTAATAGCTGTCGCTCGGTGTCTATAAAATTATCGCTCTTTTTATCCATTTTATCTGTTATTTTCTGGGGTTTTTTCGCTCACATATCCCGTGTGGAGGTGCCACGTGTTGTAAATAGTTAGAATCACTCGATAAAAGGTTTAAAACTTCTTTAATTCTCACTTCGACATAAAGTAGATTTTGTGTTTCTTGTTAATATTCGCAATCCCAGGAAAAGCATGCTTTCTTCCAGGAAAACCCCCACGGTCTGCAGACTGCAGACCGGACTGGGTACAAAATGCAGACTGGGGGTATAAAATGCAGACTGAGGATAAAATGCAGACTGGGGGTGAATTAGGGATATTTTACAAATTCCCGCCAAGCCATAGTCACGTGATCGTTCTTGTTGATAATATTAATGTTGAAGCTAGTCACTTTCATCAAAATGGACGAAGACAGCGATGTAGAGGTATTGATATTATATGAATATTTATATTATTCTCATTCAACCGTAAAACTTGATAACTTTAACACATTTCTTTGCTTTTAATATTTGAACGTTTGGTTACGTTGCATTAACCCGAAGCACTCCTTGAAGATGTTCAGACACATACTTGTTGGCTTGTGTTTTTGAGCTAATTTAATATATGTATTGCACATCATTTCTTCTGGCAAGCAAGATGATGGGCCAAACACCGATTACAGATTGTTATATTTCAAAATCAAGAGCTCGCTGTCAAACGTAAACCCTGATGGAAACGGATTGTACTGGTGTCTTGGTCAAGACCGGCTATTGAGAAGCCATCTTGGTCTGGGAGTTAAGTATGCTTACTGCCTTAACTTTGACAAAATTGACTCAAACGCAGTTTTACATGTCGCCCTTCTACTTATCTCGGGCGATGTTGCAACAAATCCTGGCCCGACCCAAACAACATCTGCAGATATTAGTTTTCAATCTTGTTCTAGTCAAAACATTGGTCAGATTTGGCAAGGGAAAAATCTGTCTGTGTTATATGCTAATGCACGTAGCATTGTAAACAAAACAGACAAACTGTGTCTGGAAATCCATAGCGGGCAGTTCGATATTGTCGTATTAACTGAAACACATCTGGACAATACCATAGTCGATTCAGAAATTTTCCCACCGAATTTTATAGTATTTAGACATGATCGTCAGCACCTTGGTCGTCACGGTGGCGAAGTCTTAATAGCGACTAAAAACACGCTTAAAGTCCATCATAGAGACGATATCACATGTACAGCAGAGTTACTGTTTGTAGATATTTTACTTCATAGAAACAAGAAATTGACAATTGGTGTTTTCTATAGACCGCCAAATAGAGAATGGCAGCCTTTGGAAGAATTAAACCAAATTCTTAGTGAAATTTCTACGTCTGATATAATACTTTTAGGAGACTTTAACATAAGCGATATCAACTGGAACAATATAAGTCCCCAGAGAGATTCTTTATTGGAAAATCTTCTGATAGATATTGTTCATGAACATTTTTTCAGTCAACAAGACGCCTACTCAGGCGTTCACTCCGCCTGCAGGCCTGCGGAGAAAATGGGGACAATGTAGGGTGCGATGGAAAAGTGAAGTCAAATATAAGCCGAAGTGGTGACGTTTGGCTAATGCTGACGCCACTACACGTCTTAATTAACACATGCGTAGGGGGCTGAAGCTGACGTCTAAACTGGCTGTGATGGCGTGCAAGGAGCCTGAAACTGACGTCCTAATGTCCAAACTTTACATTGAATTTTCATAAGAAAGTGCCATAACCTATAAGAGACAGAAATAGGATATTAATTCTGACACACCAATTCTGTTTGGCCCATCATTGTAATAATAGAGGCCCAAAAAGCATGTTTGAGTGGCTTGGTAGGTATTCTGCCCAGAGTCCTAGTAGGGTTGAATTAGATACATTACACAACACATAGTATCTATTAATGTATCGATCAATTCGAAACTGCACCATCCCCCCCCCCGGCATACCCCGGGAATTTGACTTCAAGTCTTCTCTAGGAAGTAGGTAATTTGACGTTCTAGGTCTTCCATGTGGTGGGCATTTGATAACGGGGTGGAGAATTTGAACCGGAAGTCTTAACATTTTGCCCGTTTTCGCGTGCTTCCTGCATGAACAGAAAATACTTCGCATTGGCGGCAAATGCAGTTTTCTCAGATTTCGAGGGAAACGGCCTCAATTTTGTGAAAAACTGGCTCAAAGAAACGGGCATGGAAAATCTACGTGCTTCATTTGAAGGTATGTACTACATAATTGTGTAAAACTGTTAAATTTCCAGAAGGTATCCAAACTTTTTACGTGGATTTCGCTATCCTGTCGAAAAACATTTCCGTATATTTTGTACTTTTTGTATTTACTGTTTCATAATTTTCATATGAAGGTGGGCCATTTGAACGCTTAATTTCTTGTTACAGTGGGGGCATTTGAAGACATTTTTTGCACAGGGGGTGGAGAATTTGATCAGTCAAATTTCAAAAAGTTCAAATTCCCAGGGTCGGCCCGGGGGGGTGGGGGTGGTGAAGTTTCGAATTGATTGATACATAACACACAGGGGCAGTAGAAAGAGCAAAGCAAGCAAACCCAAGCTGGCTGTGAGTTCAAGAAGCTGACGTTTCTGTTATTTGTTAACATGACTATATATCATAGATTATATTCTTGTCTTGCAACCAGTCCCTTGAGAATTAAAAGAATGTGCGAAATTCAGTAAAAAATAATGAGATTCTTTGTCTTAATACTACCACATGGCTGCCGTTTCCGGTAGTTGCGTACTAAACGTGTATAGTAAATTATAAACACGACAGCTTCAATACTACATTTCCTAAACTCTTCAAAACATTGAAATATATTTAATAACCCGATAGCCTCAACACTACATAGCCTAAACTCTTCAGAACATTGTAGGGACCTTTCACACAAGAATATATTTTGCTAGTCAAGAATATAAGATCGACATTTAATACGACATACAGTAGGAGTTAATATTTTTATTTATATTTATGACTTTAAAGAATTTCTTGTTGTCAAAATGCAGCATGTACTACCAAAATAAGAATGTTTAGTATCCCTTACCTCAGTTGAGTCTGGAAGCTTTGTCTCGACATTCATCTTTTTAGTATTTTTCAGCGCACAAGACCGTTTCACAGTTCGCAGTTTAGAAAAATACTGTAAGCAGAGCTGTGAGCATGCGCATTGCGCTGCCAAATCGTATAACATTATCCACAAATGTCAATAGAAAGTATCTAAATATCATGGAATGTACACATTTATCAAGGAGCCTGTTTGTGACACTGACGACAACCGACAACAGACTCAGGCATTTTTAGACTCCGCACTGCGCATGCGCAGGCGGAGTAATTAGTAAATGAACCGACAAGAGGGTCAAACATTCTTGACCTTGTCTTAACAACATCAACCGACCATATACAAGACGTTCAGGTGGGCGAACCTTTTTCAGATCACAAATTAATCACTTTCAAAATTAGTTGTAAGCCGTACGAGAATAGACAATCCCGCAAACAATATTATTCTTATAAGAAAGCAGACTGGGACAGCTTAAGAAACCTCCTTTTACATGCCACATGGGAACTTTCTCTGGCCGACAATAATACGAACGTTTGTTGGCAAACATGGAAAGATCTCTTTCTAGCGGCCGTGGACGATTGCATACCAAAAGCCAATGTAGCGAAAAATAAACAAAATGCGCCTTGGATAACTCGGGAACTAATTTCACTATGTAGGAAAAAGAAGGCTGCGTATAAAAAAGCGAGAAAGTCCGGAAAAAATCGTGACTGGCTATATTATAAAAAATTAAACTCGATGGTTAAACGAAAGTGCAACTTAGCTCGACAGTCGTACGTAGATGATTTGATAGAAGAACTAAAAGTGAATAACGCCAAACCCTTTTGGAAATATGTAAATTCGAAGCGCAAAGGTACTAACAATTTAGTATTATTAAAAGTGGCTGATAGAGAAATTACTAACGACATGGAAATTGCTGAAAGTATGAACACTTACTTCTCTTCTGTGTTTACAGACGAAACTTATGACAACTTTCCCACCGTAAACCGTATATTAAATGAGGAGTTGACGGATGTTCAATGCACAATTGAAGAAGTCGAAAGACACTTAAAAACGTTAAATGTTTGTAAATCCTCTGGACCGGACAATATCCCACCGCGAATATTAAAAGAATGCGCCTCTCAACTAGCACCATCATTAGCGATGTTTAATATCCTTTTCCTCGGGTATGCTCCCCCAAGACTGGAAACTAGCTAATATTGCTCCAATTCACAAAAAGAATTCGAAATGCAAGAGAGAAAACTACCGACAAATCTCACTAACATCTATTATATCTAAGATAGCAGAAAAGATTGTTCGGGATAGATCAGTTGAATTTTGGCTCAGTCGGAAAGTATTTAATGAAAATCAATTTGGATATCTTAAGAACAAGTCTACTTTATCCCAATTATTGTTATGCTACAACGACTGGGCAAAGACTAGAAACGATACAAAAGCAACCGATGTTGTTTTTATGGACTTCAGTAAAGCGTTTGACAGCGTGCCACACGAACGTCTGCTGTATAAGTTGGAACAGCACGGTATTGGAGGGGCTTTACTGAAATGGTTTAGAAACTTTCTTAGAAATCGTCTACAATGAGTAGTAGTTCGGGGATCGTATTCGAAATGGACCAATGTAACATCAGGGGTACCACAGGGAACAATTTTAGGACCTATTTTGTTTTTAATTTATATTAACGATCTCCCGAATGAAATTGTAAGTCACGTCAAGCTGTTTGCAGATGATACAAAAGTGTACCGTAAGCTATCGGACTCAGAGAACGACGGGGAAATACTTCAGTCAGACTTGAACCGTATGAGTGAGTGGACAAATTTGTGGCAATTGAGCTTCACTCTTGATAAGTGCGAAGTTCAGCGGATAACTCATCATAAAGATAAATCAATACCCGAATACTACTTGTCTGACAAGAAACTAAAAGTGGTGAAGGAATTTAAAGATCTAGGCGTAATTGTATCTAGTGATCTATCATGGAGTAATCAGGTTGCCTCGACAGTTAAGAAAGCTAACCGCATTATTGGTTTTATTAAACGGTTTTTCAAGTACGAGCATTTTTTTCACATTATATAAATCCTTGGCGAGACCTGTCTTGGAATACGCAGCGCCAGTTTGGTCGCCATATCTGGTTAAAGACGTGAAAGCCCTAGAACGTGTTCAAAGAAGAGCATCGAGAATTGCTCTGAAACAGAAACGAGGCGAAATGCCATACAACGAACGTTGTAAATTGCTAAAATGGGACACACTAAAAAAACGTAGAAAGTTTCTTTCACTAGTAGAGTGCTACAAGATAGTATTTGAACTTAATGGCGGCATAATATTCAACGAAGTTTTAGAATATAGACACTCCAAGAGGACAAGATCTAACCACCAATACACCTTATATCCTAAACTACCCAAAATTAATTGTTACAAATACTCACTATTTGTAAGGATTATCAGTGACTGGAACAGTTTACCATGCTCGGTTGTAGAAGTAAATAACATTATAGAATTTAAAAGAGAACTGAAGTCGAACATGGACATGTACTTGTAATTTAACATTTAGGTATTTTAACTTAGTAATAGGTAAAGGTGATCTTTATATAGGGTTAACCTCCAGATCTCCTGCAAGGGCCTCAATATTATTGTAGGTACTTTGAATAAATTATTGATTGATATATATATATATATATATATATATATATATATATATATATATATATATATATATATATATATATATATATATATATATATATATATACCAAATATGTATTGAGTAGAGTGCTCGATATGCCGAAGTACAGAGCTAATAAAGATAAAGGTAAAATAAACCTGGTTTACTTCATAAGATTTATTCAATGGCGTTTTGATTTTCGGTTAATCTTGTCTGAATTTTCTTAGACGTTTGTCCAATGTACTTATCGTTTTGATGTAACCGAACATCAAAACACCATTAACAGACATGACCATAATTGACTCCCAGCCAAGCACGCAGACGATAACGGACACAAATGTGACTGGTCTCAAACGAGATGCCTAGGGCAAACTACTACGAAACATGCCCGTGAGTTTAAAGAAGCGTGCACGTGGCATAGTCAGAGGCGTAGCCAGGGCTGGGGCCGGGGGGGCCCGCCCCCCCCTGGCAAAAGTTTGGGGGCCCTCCTGATAAAATGTATTGTATAAAAAAGGGAATCCTTGATTATATAGCTTCATCCTGTCAATAATACAAAAATTCTGTTGAATATATGCTTTGCTGGGCATCGGTGTCCAACCTGCGTTGGCATCACGGCGCCACGGCGGACGAATTTTTTTTTCGTTTGGCGCTTTTTTCGTTTCGTTTTCGTTTCGCTTCGGTTCAGTGTAATGCTATGTAGATGAAAATAACACCATTCGATTCAGTGAAAAAATTCCTATCGATAGATATACTGTAGTAAAACGTTAACACTATAGCGATTTACGACCTTTGGAGGACAAGTGATATCATATTTCATTAGATTACACAATATTCCCGAAAAATGTAAACAATGTGATAAAAGAAGAAGAATTTATTCGCACCAGTCAAAAATACATAATTACAATTTTTTCCACACATTATTAAGACAGAGTTGGCACAGGATATCTGAAGTAGCTTTAACACTAATCGAAGTCAGATAACCTTATTAAAGTATTCGAGCCACTGTGGGTCAACATTTGGTTTAAGGTCATGGTGCACAATGATTATACAGATACAAATTAAAATTTATAGACATATGCAAAAACAAGCCAGTAATCATTAATTATAAATTTGATTTCAGTTAATTTGAAAGCAAATTAAAACAGAAATAAGAATAAAAATAAAGCTAGTATTCATTAATAAATTTGATAATTTTTTTTTTTGAAAACTGATTTAGTTAGTATTTTCAAGCTATTATCTATATCATTCCAAATATAAGGTCCCTGTGATCGGATAGAAAATTTACCGTAATTTGTTCTTACAATTGGTATACAATAACTAATTGTTGTTGCTAGCCTAGTACTGTACTTGTGTTTATCACTAACGAAAATGAAAAATCGTTAAAGACAGTAGGGAGTCTATTTGTATAGAAATCGTGCATAAATAATAAGTTGGACATCTTTATTACATCAAACAGCTTTAAAAGACCGAGATTTTTAAATAAAGGACTAGTATGTTCATCATATCTTGAGAAAGTGATTATACGTACTACTCGTTTCTGCAAGAGCACTAATGATTTCAAGGAAGATTCGTAGGTGTTTCCCCAAACTATGGTTCCATACGTAAGAAAAGGGTATATCAAAGAATAATAAAGCTGAAGAAGAATGTTAAATGTAACATAATATCGTAATTTTGAAAGAATGCCAATGCTCCTCTGAATTTTTTTTGAAATATTATGAATTTGAGTTTTCCAATTTAAGTGGCAGTCAATATAGATACCTAGGTATTTAACATAGCTTGTTTGTTCAATGGAGTCACAATTGATATAAAGTTTAAGATCATGGGTAATTATTTTTTGAGGCGTACGGAATATAACGTAATTTGTTTTATCAGTATTCAAACATAGTTTATTTGCAGACAGCCAAGAATGTACCTTAATTAAAGTGTGGTTTATCAGCTCCTCCAGCCTCAATATACTATCATGCGAAAAAAATAGATTTGCACCATCAGCAAACATATAAAAGTCCAAAAGGTCAGAGCAATGTTCAAAGTCATTAATATATAAAAGTAATAATAACGGTCCTAAAACAGAACTTGAGGCACTCCACAGGAAAACTAGGAAACATGCAATTCATCTGAACTAATACCCCTTATTGAAACATATTGCTTTCTATTTGACAAAAATGATTTAAACCAATCTTTAGCTATGCCCCGAATTCCATACTAATTTTGTAATCAGTATATCATGATTTACAGTGTCGAAGGTCTTACTTAAATCTAAAAATATTCCACAAGAGCATTGTTTATTTTCGACTGCTTTTTGGATTTTATCAGTAATAAGTGTTACAGCTTGTACAGTGGAGTATCCCGACCTAAATCCGAATTGGTTTTCAGATATTCATATTCATTTTCTCAACATACTACATCAACCTCCCATACATTAGTTTTTCCAATATTCTATTAAATAATAAATATAGACAATAAAGAAATTGGTCGATAATTATTAACATAGATTGCAGATCCATTTTTAAATACTGGAACTATCTAGTGAGCAATCTTAAATTTATCTGGGACAACACCAGTTCTAAAGGAACAATTATGCAAAATCTCTAATGGTTCAGATATATTGCAATACAAAATTTTTAGCAGCTTTGTCATTGGATCACAAATAAAATGTATCACAAAGGTTGAAAGGCATACATTTCGCCGAACATAACTTCGGCTCCTTTCAAGATATGTTTTTCGTAATAGTCTTGTTCGAATCACAATCCAAAACACTATTCAGAGTAATAAGTTCTTTGTATGTTTGCATGGTGATAAAATATAATAGGTTTTGTTTGTGGAAACATCACGTAAATTTATTACTGCAGTAATAAATTTACGTGGTGTTTCCACAAACAAAACCTATTATACTATTCAGAGTGTTATTTTCAAGCTTCTATCTACAGATTTGCATCTTTTATTTCGGTATTTCAAAATATCTAAATTTTACGCGAGAGCTTCGACCGGAAATACACTTTAGATCTGCCAAAACATTGCGTTGTTTAAATCCTATCGCTCGCGAAACGTCGGAAATCGATTCTGAAGGTCAAATTACACCTGCAGCGTGATTTGCACGTGCATCGGGCTACGGGTGCTCCTTATTGGCCAATAGCGAGGTTTAGCAAAGACGACGCGACGTCAACAAGGACGTGAAAATGGCGTAAAAATGGCGTGGGCACATCCATAGATGGGCATATCACGCCATTTTTACGCCATTTTTACGTCCTCGTTGACGTCGCGTCGTCTTTGCTAAACCTCGCTAATTTTAGCATGTGGCGGGCACGTGCGAGGAAAAACCGGAAAAACCCAATATTTTGAAAAATTCAAAATAAATGTATTTCTACTGGCCGTATTCAAACGAAATTTTCTACACGAAAGCGCTGGAATACAAGGAGTATTTCACTCAGATTGACTTGTGGGGAATTCCAAGGAGTTCAATAGATATTCGAGATTTTCTCAATATGAAATACAGAATGTTTGCCCCCCCCCCCGTTCGAAAGGTTATTTTATGAGGATTTCAACGGTGGCTTCCGTTTTAAAGGGGGGTAAATACTCGTTGAGATATTTACATCGGAAGCAATTGAATGAAAAATATGAAATTTATCGCCAAACGATAAAGAGTTAAAACAAGATACCGCAACCACACTAAGTCTTTCCGACATGACATGAGGAATACAAAAGCAACACCGAACTGTCCAAGTACGTTTGGAAACTGAAGTCAGAAAACAGTCAGTTTACAATAAAGTGGTCCATCAAGAAAGTCAAAGCATACAAACCAGGGTCTACACGGTGCAATTTCTGCCTCGAGGAAAAACTACTCATAATGAAAGCAAAGAAAACTGAGTGTCTGAACAAACGCTCTGACTTGTTTTCTAAATGTAGACATGGTACCAAACATCTGCTT